AAAATTCTTGTTTCATTTTGTTGTCATATTAGAGATATCTATCTATTAGATATCTCTTTTTTTATCACTCCATTAATCAGAAAATACAATCAACAGAAAATAATACACATTCACCATGTTTTTAGGAAAAAAACGTTGTTTTATATCATGCAAATGTGTGTATGTAAGTGCTGCTGAAGTGGAGATTTCTGGCTTTGTGCAGGGGAAAAACAACAACAACAACAACAACAAAACTAGTCTGAAACAAAATGTTATGCAAAGCTAACAAGCCCAAAATCTCAAAATTGACTAGTGCTTGAAGGAGTGCAAACAGAAGCTTCCAGCTTGAAACCTTCATTTTAAAGTCAATATGACATAAAAATGGACTCCATTTACCTTTTTAACACAGACACAATACTGGTCTTTTTATGCACAGTCATTGCATGTTATTTCAAAGAAAACCATGATTGTAATCTTTCATCAGAATGTAATAATTTTCTCCGCCGCTGAAATGGTTTTTGTTTCCTTTCAACTACGCATCATATTTTTTTTCATATATTCACAATCAATTCAATTTTTTTTTTTTCACAGATTATCCTGTTTCTTTCAAAAATGTGTTGCGTTATGAGAGAAAAATCACTGTCTTTAAACTTAACCTTATTTCAGCTTCATCAACTTCACCTTCACCAAACTGCAACATGTTTTGTCATGGTTTGCCTTTAAAATCTTTTAAATCCAGATCGGTGTTCCTTATATGTATCCAACCCTACTGTGATGTTATTGTTTAAACATTTCAAGCAGGTGTTCCTTCAAGCCTAGTTAAGTGACCCTTTCTGCTCCAAAGGTGCATGATGGCCTGACTTTATAAGGCACTTCCTATGTGTGCGTATGATGACATCATATCAACAGTGGAGTGGTTGAATGTCTATATGTGTGTGTGTGTGTGTGTGTACAAGAAGCAAGAGTTGGGAGGGATCTGGCAACGGAGGAAAGTTCATGGCCGTGTTTCTATGAACACAAGGCAATCTGAGCTCAAATCAGTTCAGTTCTGTCTCCACACCTGATTGCAAAGTGAGGTACATTGAATGACACAGAAACAGACTTTTATTTAAGTGACAATGCATCCTGTAGGAAAGCCATTTCAGGTGGACAAAACTGATTTAGCTGGGTTAATGAATAGACAAATTGAATAACTTCTAATCCTTGTAAATGCATATATATGCATGCTGTCGCATGACAGTTACTATCACAATTACATACACATTTACACACAAACCCAGTGCACACTTACTGATTCATGCACGCATGTTCACCTTTGTGTGAATTGCCACTAGTACAATGTCAAAAATCAACATTTAGTTCACTCTCCTGCTGGCTACAACTGGCCTGCTAGAATGTGTGGAATGTAACTGAAATTATTAGGGGATTAAAGTGAGTCGGCTCATCCACGGCCAAATATCAGAAGATAAGCCTGTTGGGTTTGGGGGCCAAGGCCAGACACGGAGATTTGCAACACTGTAACACAAGCACATTTTGTTCCTGCTGCATTCCTGCCTCTCAGCTCTGTTTGTTTAGCTCTTTCAGGTTTTTTTTGTGTGGCATTGTGTTTGACCATAAGCTTCGTCCTAAGTGTGCAAGTTATAATGGTCTTATGGCATGGAGTGAGTGGCCAGATTTTATTTAACACTTTAAAAGTATTTGTTGAATTTATTAGTGGGTTCATACAGACTAAATCAGTGCAGCTCAATGAACAAAAAAAGTAAAACATTGTTAAAAATCACATTGTGGCGTAGACTATGTTTGTTATAATTCTAGCTTGTATTTAATGTAGTCTGAGTTGCATTTTCTTTCATTTCAAGTATTTTTCTTCATGGTTTTTCTGATTTCACTTTAACCCAGCTAACAGGGAACATTCTCAGAACTTTGGTTAGCATTCTGGCAAGCTTGTCCCAAAGTTATGAACAAACATTCTTTCAGTAATGTTAATAGATTATTCATTCAAAGTTATAATCAATAATGTTCTAAAAACATTAGCACAACATTGTTATTTATACATCATCAAACATTTTATAAATGTTACTATTTTCAGAATGTTCAGCTCAACAGTAACATTCCCATAATGGTTACAAAACAATATAATTGAATGTTCCCTTAACTAGAAAAATGTTCGATACAGCGCACGATAGTTTCATGCTTTTTTCATTTAATGGCGTGTTATGAATGACAAGAAGACAGGCAACAGAACACACAAACACATGAGTGCCATGCCTGCCTGCAATGAGGAGACTGAATCAAAAAAAGGAATATTAGTTGAATTAAAAAAAAAAACATTTAAAATTTGGATGTTTTGAACATTCAGAGAACATTCAAAATAACATTTTTTTTTGAGAATGAGGTCATGCCACTTGTCCGTTTTGGCCTCTCTAACTTCAGTAACAGATGAATTTGCACTAAAATGCAGCAGAATTTGATTGAACACAGACACTGACATCAACAACATAAGGCCAAAAATAATGTCTTTGGCATAAACCATCTTTGTCCTAGTTTGTATTTACTGTAGTCTGGATTGCAATATCTATAAGTAATTTTCTTTATGATTTTTTTTGTGGATGAGGGCAAGTCACTCAACTTGTCCATGTTGTATAAGTGGCAGATGAATTTGCATCAAAATACAAGTTCGATTGGACACACAGACTTTGACATCAACATTACATCATAATTATGCATGATTACATGATACATGGTTAAATGCATTTTATTATTTGCATTTAGCTTTCTGTTTTTACTGTCCACAACAGACCTGCGACCTGACAGAAATCTACTGAAAACATGCATAATCACTGGGATGAGATCTCTTCATCTCACATGCACATGGGCATCTGGATAAGACTGAATCAGAGGTATATTATATATGATGTACAGCAGCTGTTATCAACCTCTGCACAGATCATAATGAAGAGACATCACCCATATCCATCTAGCTTGCAGACAATATGGGCTCCATCTTGACAGGCTGGTAAATATAATGTAGCAGTAAAACATCACAGTGTTTGCTGTGCGTGCTTTCTTATCAGCGATGGAGACACCTTTTGTCTGTCTAACTGTTTGTGTGGATTCAGGGCTGTGGGCCCTTATTTTCTTCATTCTGTGCATTAACTGTCTCTCTTTGCACTTCTCATTGAGGTTCTTTAGCCTTGTATGGTCTTGTCTGTCTGTTCAAATACTTCTTGACTCTAAGGACTCTGGACTCTCATGCATGTCAGCAGTCTGTCTGGTTCCAGGTACCTAATGTTTGTTTGCTTTGATGTGTGCCTCAAAGCCACATTTTAAATACATTATGGTATATTTAATATTTCAAATGCACAGGTTTGTTTAAACCATGGCTCTGAAATAAGCCCCAAATAATTAGTTTGTTGCGTTTTTAATAATAGAAAGGAAAAGGGTGGATTTCAGTTTTAATAGCACTTCGCTTTTGGGAAAAATAACATTTCTATACAGGGAACACTGAAAAATTCACCAGATGTTCAGGCAAATAATCTGAATTCTAAAAGTATCACATTTCATCACTCATAAATCAGAAATTACTATCAACAGCCAGTAAAATAAAAATAAAAAAAGAATAAAATGTTGCATAAAATCAGACAAGTGATATATAAACAAACCACTCTGTAAAAACCTTCAGAATATAAATAGGAATGAAACTGTAAAGTTTGATGTATGAGGCTAATGGTCTAAATTCTAAAAGAAGCTGTGTATCCTTATAGAAATGCATTTTTGATAACTGTAGTCGAGTAGTGGATGTAAATTGAAAAAAAAAAAAATATGATGAAATATATAATATTTTATAAATATTTTTTTTGTGTGATTATTTTTATTTTTTATTCTAACAAAATGTTCCAATTCGTATCTGTTGTCTCTATGGAGGACAATTACAAATTGAAATGCATATTTCTTTGTATTTCTGTAAGGGCCTTACTTTCTTTCATGCCATTATGAGGGCATTTATCCTCATTACGTGTCATGGTTTCCTTTAAATATACTGAAATCAGCAGGTTTTGTGGGGTTTGAAGTTTAGAAAAATATGATCACTTTCATATAAAAACCATTACATCTAATAAATTCCCACATTCACAATGAAAACAGGTGTGTCCTTGTATGCTGTCTTATTTTTCCAAATCAAACTTCATATGCATTTTCATAGAAAACATGTAGAGAAAACAAATACATAACCAATGTTGGGGGTAACGCATTACAAGTAACGCAAGTTACGTAATCAGATTACTTTTTTCAAGTAACTAGTAAAGTAACGCATTACTTTTTAATTTACAAGAGAATATCTGAGTTACTTTTTCAAATAAGTAACGCAAGTTACTTTTTTCCCCTCCAATTTATTGATTGACAGCTCTCCTGTCCCCATGTTGAGAGAAATCAGATGTTACTTTAATTCTAAAATAAATATGAATATGCATTAATCTCACTCACAAAAAAAAACACAGATTCAGTATTCCTCAAAATGAATAAAAATGCTGCAACTCAGAATATGACGCAAACCTGCGATAATTAAATGTTAAACAACACAAATATCCTTTATGTATTTAATGCCATTCTATTAACCAATGTCTTTGCTTCTGACCTTGGATGATCCAGTTCAACCATAATAATACGGAAAAATTACTCTAGACAAACATTTGTGTGTCTTTTTTTATTGCTGAATTAAAATCAAACAAGCAACCCCTGTCCAGATTTAAAAAGTAATGCAAAAGTAACATAACGCATTACTTTCCATAAAAAGTAACTAAGTAATGTAATTTGTTACTTTTTTATGGAGTAACGCAATATTGTAATGCATTACTTTTAAAAGTAACTTTCCCCAACACTGTACATAACACACAGAGGGTAACAATAATGCAGAGACATTCACAGATAGCAGCAGTGTGCGCAATGTGTCTTTAAATTCCGTCTGGAAGGGGCGGGGTTTGCGTGTCCCTCTGCCTGCAGTGAAGCATTTAAAGCACCGCGCACACAGAAGACACGATTGTTAACGAACCTCTCGAACGCTGTAATGAACATGCTCTCGCATCTATAGAGCTAAACTGAAGCTTTCAAACGGGTCGAACAGGATCATTACGGCGTTATGAACTTTTAACGCCGGACACCTAGAATCTGTCAGGAGATTAAGGTGAATTTTATTGCGTTTATCGCATTGTCTGTGTTTGTGGTCTGTCTCTCTCTCTCTGTGTGTGTGTGTGCGCTGATGACGACAGTGACGTGTGTAAAGATATCATCAGATTCTGTGACAGGGCATCAGATAAGGAGCGTGTGT